ATGAGAATTCTGTATTCTGTTGTGGAGCTGTGTTCATGGCAAATGTTCAGTTCTATTCAGATTAATGATCCATAAGCACTGTCAAAATCATTAGTTACAACTAAAAACCTCAGCAACCATATCCCAGTCCTTAGCCATTGCACAAAGCATCTAGGATGAGAACAAAAGATAGGCACGTTTAGGCTATCTTGAATAGGAAAGCTTGTATGAAGATTTAAGCTCCAGAAATTACCAGTCCTCTCTTAACCACCTGCATCCACCTCACAGTGTTATAAGGCATATGCATCCATAGGACTTCCCTTCAGAAACTTTATCAGGATACATGGCTTGCTGGTGACACCACTGCTTGTGTGCAGAGACACCAGATCACATCTATTACTTGTGAGCCTGTAGCATTCTATAGTATCTACCAAAACAACCCTGAGAAATCTGATCTCTACTATTGAGTCCCATTCTGTGTTGCAAAAATCCTAAGTTTGTGACTAAATGCCAAGGTGAAAATATATTCCCCTTTCCCACCACACCTACGAAGGGCTCTAATTCAAGATCTGCAGGCACGTTGTACCACAGAGGTAATCTTACTCAGAATAAGGTAGACTTGTAGCTACATAGCTATTCAGCAGCCATTCTGTTTTGAGAGGCTTAGCATGAATGATGGGAAGAGTGAAGTTTGAAACTTTTTGAATCCCTCCAAGTTACTGATAGTAGTACAGGAACCCTTCTAATTCTAGCCTTCTCTGTCAGTTTCTCTATAGAAGAATCTTTAATGAAAAGCACACATATTCCTTCTCAGCACCTGTCCAGCCCTAATTACCCTATTTCCTCCCCTCTAATCTAAACCATAGTAGGTCCATGTTTCTCTCCAGGTTTGCTGAAAGCCTCAATCACAGCCACATAAGAGTTAAATAGAAAAAAATGACAGTGGGAACTTCTTGGGGTGAAAGGGCTTATACTCGACTTCATTCTCACAGTGGCGGGTCAATCACTAGAATCCCATCCACTCAGAGCGAGTCTGCACGCAGCAAGCTGGTCTCTGCCTCTGGGCCTCTCTGCCCTGCAGCCATCTCAGCCTCTGTCCTTGGCGCTGCTGCCCCTCCAGCCTCTGCTCTCCTGCAGCCCTGCAGCCCTGCAGCTGTGCAGCAGCCCAGAGCACTGGGCAGGGCTCTTTGATACAGTCAGTAACAAATGTATTGTCCACACGTTTGTAGTGAGCAAGCCGACCGGGGCCAGGTGAGAATCCTGGCCATAGGAACCTTCACTTTTTCNAACAAAGCAAAGAAATCGAGAAGTGGAAAAGACTTGCCCAGTTGAAGAATCGTGAGCTGGACAAGTTCCGCACAGAGCTGGACTCCGTATTAGACGTCCTCCGAGAGCTGCACCGGCAGGGGGCGGTGGTCCCTGCTGCTTCGGCAGCCGCCCAAGGGCAACAGAGTGTCACTAGAGACTCGCAGGGCCTCACAGGAAGACTTGGGAATGGATGGTGGATGGGATTGTGCCAGTTTCAAAGGAAGTTTTGAAAACAACAAGCAACTAACACAAAAGGAATATTCCAAAACAAATTGCCCTTAACCAATAAGGAAAAAAATAGCACTATGGTATCTTACTGAAAATCATTAACCAGTCACATTTTATAAATCATTTATGGACAGGGCCCTTTATGTCCATGATTAGAACCAGTAAGGTTTATTGACACATGCTAAGGAAAGGAAAGCGCAGATATGCAGCCATCATTGACTAACTGTTATTCCTAATTCTCGGTGACAGAAAAGCAGCTCCTCTTTCTCTTGGAAACAGGGAGGAATGTGAGCACGTGGCGTGCACAGTCACATGGATAGTCCCCTGAGTAGCAGAGCTTCCATGATGACTTAACAAGACCAGTGACGTCCGCACGGGAAGCAGGTGAGCTCTCACGTTTTCCCTCGGAGCTCCACTCCTGCCTCTAGTTGCCTCCCGGCTGTACTCACCATCAGGTGAAAATGTATTTTACGACCGCTGAGAGGATTTGGTTTATTCATTGTTTTAATCTTTTATGCTGTGTGTCTTAAATGCAAGTCTTTGTCTGTAACTCTAAGACTATAAACAGAACAGAACATTTTTACTTTCTCTACTTAAAAACTAATATATGTTCATTAGAAAAAAGCATGCATACTCGTGTGATTGTTTTATTTTACAATCCCATCCCAAAAGCGGATGTGAGTATAAAAGATACTAGTAAGTTAAAGATATGGCCACTTTGTTTTCAAGTGTTCTGGCCCAGTTGCTATCCAATAAAAGTATAATGGAACCACATGTAATTTTTAATTTTTCTGGTAGCCACATTTATCTTTTTAAGATAAAAAGAAACAGATAAAGTTAATTTTGGTAATTTATGTAATCTTTCTAAAATATCAATATAAAAATGGAATTTTTACATTCTTTTTTTCATTCCAAGTCTCTCAAATCTGGTGTATTTAACATTTACAGCATATCTCAGTTTGGACTAGCCACATCCCAAGTGTTCAATAGCAACATGCCAATAAAT